GGGGGGGCCCAGGCCGCCCGCCCCCCCCCCCCAGCAGACCAGGGAGACGCGGGCGGGGGACCGAGACGCACCGTGGTCCCGCCGCCCGGGTCCTCCGCGGCTTTGCTCCGCGTCTCCCTGGTCTGCTGGTCTGCTGGAGACCAGGGAGATGGGGAGCAAAGCCTCGGAGGACGCCGGCAGGGGGACAGCTGCGGCGCGTCTGGGCTCTCCCGCTGCCTGCGTGCTCCGCGGCTTTGCTCAGCGTCTCCCTTCTCTGCTGGGGGGGACTCCCCCCCAGCAGACCAGGGAGACGCGGAGCAGCTTTTCTCGCCCTGGAGGACACGGGCGGCGGGACCGCGGCGCATCTGGGCGTCCCGCTGCTCCCGTCCTCCGGGGCGAGAAAAACCCCGTTCGTAACTGCGGATCCGACATAAGTCGGAGCCGCGTAACTCGGGGACTGCCTGTACTCACATTTTTCAGACACACAATAATGTTTCTACCCTAAGGGTACTTGTACCACTGATTGAGAAACACTGGGTTAGACTATCTTGCTGCCTTGCCTCTCTGACAAACAAATCAACTTTTAGCATTATACATTTCACAATTTCCACATGCTGTGGAGGATGCTCACATTTTTAACTTTCAGATTGCTGAGTAGAGCCAAAAGGTTATTATTTTGTTTAAGAATATGTCCAAGATTGTACTGTTATGCTGTATATCTGTCATAGGAGGACAGTGACAGAGCTAAAATGATTATTTTTCAATGGAAAGCTTAGTTTATTTTACTTTTTTATATATACAGTATTTATATTATCTTTTAAAAATGTGTAAGCCACCTCAAATATTTTAAAGAGGCATGGTAAAACTAGGAAGGAACAATCAGTTTCACACATACAGAGTGGGAAGCGACTGTCTAGGAAGGAGTACGACAGAAAGGGATCTAGGGGTTATAGTGGACCACAAGCTGAATATGAGTCAGCAGTGTGATGCTGTTGCAAAACAAGCAAACATGATTCTGGGATGCATTAACAGGTGTGTTGTGAGCAAGACACAAGAAGCCATTCTTCCGCTCTACTCTGCGCTGGTTAGGCCTCAATTGGAGTATTGTGTCCAGTTCTGGGTACCGCATTTTAAGAAAGATGTGGAGAAATTGGAGAGGGTTCAGAGAAGAGCAACAAGAATGATTAAAGGTCTAGAGAACATGACCTATGAAGGAAGGCTGAAAGAACTGAGTGTGTTTAGTTTGGAAAAGAGAAGATTGAGGGGGGACATGATAGCAGTTTTCAGTTATCTAAAAGGGTGTTATAAGGAGGAGGGAGAAAACAAGAAGCAATGGGCTTAAGCTGCAGCAAGGGAGGTTTAGGTTGGACATTAGGAAAAAGTTCCTAACCGTCAGGGTAGTCAAACACTGGAATAAATTGCCCAGGGAGGTTGTGTAATCCCCATCTGTGGAGATATTTAAGAGTAGGTTAGATAAATGTCTATCAGGGATGGTCTAGACAGTATTTGGTCCTGCCATGAGGACAAGGGACTGGACTCGATGACCTCTCGAGGTCCCTTCCAGTCCTACTATTCTATGATTCCATTCATTTTTTAAATGAAGGAATGAATGAATGAATAGTGCCTAGCACTGAACATTCTGTTACACTTGCATCAAGTAGTTGTCAGAGAGTAGCCATGGAATAGATTCTGCAGAGCAGATAGATTCCGTCTTGCTGGTAGTGCAACTATGTAGCCAAATGTATGTCTAAAGCTACCTTCGTTAGCTAATGCCCACAGGTGGCTGCTAGAAAACCAGAAGCTTTGTCACGGAATGACTCTCTTCATCCACCATTGAAACACAAGCTATCATTGAAGTAGATTTTAGCTACTACACCACAGTTTACTTCAAGAAGTAAGGACAGAAGTGCACAGTGATTTTTGTTTGACTGAAGAAAGTGCCTTCAGTGGTCCATTTAAAATGTGTGGAAATTATTTTTTACCTTTTTTTGTGTGTTTTCCATTTGAAAGAAAAAAGGAAGTTTCCAAAATTCAGAGAGGATACAAAATTTAGGGACTCAGGATACACTGCAGAGTTTTTCCGGAAAAACTACACTTACATCCACACTGCAATTGCATTCTTTTGACAGAAAGTTGAAAGAACGCAGGGGTTTTTCCGACAGTGGTAAACCTCTTTCTACGAGGAAGAAGCCTTTTTCCAAAAGAGCACTTTCAGAAAAAGGCGTGTGTGGATGGGGAAGAGGGATTTTTTTTAAAAGAATAAGCCTCCAGGAAAAAGCACAGGTTCCCTGGTGGCCACTCCATCAACAACAATCAGAACTTAAATGCGAGATAGTGTTTAATGAATGTGGATGCTATCTTTCAAAAAAGCACATCGCTTTTTCATTCTGCTTTTGCTGTGTAGATGCTCTCTTTGGAAGGACGTTTTTCCAGAAGATCTCTTCTGAAAAAGCTTCTTCTGAAAGAAAACTGCAGTCTAGATATAGCCTCAGTGTTCCACTATTATCTATTTTTAAGAGGCTTGGAAGGATTAAATTGTTATTGGTAAATGTCAATTTAACCATACACACAGAAACCAATGAAAAAAATATTTCCATCGATGATAGTTACAGGTGGGTAAAGTAAGAAATTTGCTGCTAGAGAGTTTGATTTAAGAAAGTTTATTTTCTTTGTATATTTTGACACGTGATGTTGATTAATTGTATTTTAATGGTTAAGAAGCTTTAACTTTTTAAAAATCTGTTTAATGTCATTAAATAATTATTGTCTGATTCTCCTCTCCATCGTTTGTGACACCTGGAAAATTAAAATTGATAAAAATATAAAAAGATGCTTAAAATAAGCATGGATGTTATCTGTCAGAATTATTTTAAAAACTCAAATTCTCTGTTTATAATATTTATATTCCAATAATGCCTAGGAATCTCAGAGATCAAGGTACCATTGTGCCAGTACTAGACAGACACATCGTAAGAGAATGTCTCAACCCTGAAGAGCTTCCAAAGCAGGGTGAAAGGATTATTATTATCCCCACAAAGGTGTATATCATCTTGTCACAAAACGCAATCAGGTTTACAATACGAAACCGTAACCTTTCTTTACACAAAGTACGGGGAGTATTCCTGAAGGCACTCTTCAAGTTTAGGGCAACACACTGCCTCGTCTTCCTGCACTCCTTAGTCAGAGATCCTAGCAGCCACTCACGGAGCAAAACCAGCCAGCAGGGCCGACAGACTCCCTGGGCCTCTGGGCAAGGTGAGGAGGAGCAGCTCTGTGCCCCATGAAGGGGCAGGGTCTTGGGAAGAAGGGGCGGGGTTGGGGCTGGCCTCCACCAGGAAGCCCTTAGTGCCACCTGGAGCACGCTGTGTGGGGCTCCAGCCACCACTGCTGCTGCTGTAGCAGTGACGGTGGTCAGGGGCCCCAGGCCCTTTGGGATCACTGGGCTTTAGAGCAGTTGCCTCCTTTGTCCCTCCATCGCTGGGCCTGAAACCAGCTATGGTATTTCAGTAGCCTCCTGGCTGTGGTGCTGTGGCCACATTGCAATAAAACACCTTCAGCTGACTCGGGTTCACGGGGCTCAGGCTGTGGGCCTGTACAACTGCAAGGGTAGATGTCTGGACTGGGTGGAGCGTGGGGCCTGGGACCCTTCCCCACCAAGGAGTCCCAGAGTCTGGTCTCCAGCCCAGGCTTATGCCACTACTCTGCCATTTTACAGCCCCCTGGACCCGAGCTAGCTGACAAAGACCAGCCCCGGGTGTTCTGTTGCAGTGTAGACATACCCTGAGACAACAATGTTGTGATGGGATGAGAAGCAGCTGGCCTCATTAAGGGTTGTGTCTAAAAGCTCCAAACCCCAGTGATACCTGACAAATGTGCCAGGACTGCTCTGTGGGGAGGGCCTTGACCAACACCCTTGGCTTGTTGCTCTGGCTCTTCATGAACTGGGCTTGTTTAGTTTGGAAAAAAGAAGAT